ATCGTGTGGCCAGTGCACACCACCATCCTGCTGTTTCCTTATACCCCCAAACCCCTCAGTCTCCTTGGGGTGCCTCCGTGGCTTTCCTTCTGGCCCCTGTCCTGGCAGTGGCTTGTCAGGACACAGCAGGACTAATTGAAGAGCTTGGGTCTCACGTTGTTACAGGGCGATATCTCCCCTGCTGCAGTCCTCTGAAGGTCTCTGACTTTTACCTGAGATGTTTTCTGTTGATTCCATCTCTTCTCAATGGAAGTAACACCCGCGTGAGTTGTGAGAGTGGAGGTAGGGCTGGCTTGACTTTGCCAGGCTGTCCCGCAATTTGTGTGCCAGGGAGAAATTTCTGTGGCTTCAGCTCCTGTGCATATCTCAGGTTGCCCTGTGAACTCCTTATGCATGTTGGGGTGACCCATTCATTTGTTGGATGAGGCCCAGGAATAAGTGAAGTGTATGCATTTTGACTTAATATATATATGCTTTTTTTTCAATGAGAATTTTGACTCTTCATGTGCCATGCCATGACTGATTTAAAAAATACCTTTTCTTTGAACTGAAAGCCAGGCAGACTCCCACCCTTATGCTTTTCCACTCTGCAGAGTTCATAGAAGTAACTAATGCTAAAGAAAGAGCTTTGTGTACTATTTCTCAAATAATATAGCTAACATTACCTTTCCACTTTGGGCCTCCCTCCCTCCCTCCTTCCTTCTTTCCCTCCCTGCCTTCCTGTCTTCTATGCTAGGAACTTCACCTATCTTTTCTAAATTCCATGCCACATTCTTTTTGTCTTTGCCTATTTTTGGATAAAGAGTGAGAAAAAGGATTTTTCCTTTTGGATGGGGGGAGGATCATGCAATTCCTCTAATCATTTTCTTAAAAGTGATTTCACCATCATGTTTCTTCTCTTCTCCCCATAGAAGTAGAAAGATATTTTACAAAACTATGTTTAGTTTAATTTACACATCCTTTCATGAACAGACCAAGTTCTTTAAGGGCATTTATTCTGCTTCATATAAATAATTGATCAGCCAAGTTAATTTACTTCTGCCTGACTTGGTCAACCTTAATTAACTGCCCTGGAATCAAGACTGAACTTTTTGTTAGCTTAAAATCTCATAAGCATGATAACAAGGGCTTTATTTTCCCTAAATTTTCAGCATCAACACTGTAACCAAGGAAATAATCATAATAATAAAGCACTGCTTTAATTTACTATAAATACATTGGCCTGGACATTATGAATTTTCCAGAATACTTCCAGAGAGCAGCTCTGTTGGTAACAACAATAAATAAACATGCTCTGCTCCACTTTCGTCCTTTTCTGCCAATCACTCCAGCCCCAAAGTGATCTTTCGTAACCAGTAGCTCTGTGATGCTTCCTCGCCAGATGAGAAGTGCACCATTTTGGCTTCCCAGCCTTTTGCAGTGTCAGCCTTTATTGGGATGGTGCTGAATGGACTGTGTGAGTTCTTGTGGCCTCACTCTTTGGGAAAGCTGTATGGAGACAGGGGAATGCTGGTGTTTGTATCTGGAGAAAGGACCAGTTGGTGGGCATCGTGTGCCCTTCCTGTTCAGGCACTTGGGATGATGAGCAGTGATGTTTTTACCTTACTTTGTCATGGAGCAAGGTAGTGGGGTATCCAGAGGCACGTGAAGACTGAAAACCAAGTTCCTGAAACAACCCTCCTCTAAGAAAAGTTCATGGTGCTCCATGACAGAGCACAACATGCTTCTCCATGCCATGGACTTAATTCTCAGTTCTAACAGTGTACAGCTCAGCAGAAAAAGGGAGATACAGTGGTTTGCTGAAGAGCAATGATGCTTTTCCTCTGTGTGTTAATGCTTTCCTTTGCCTGCCTGCTATTCTGATTGTAGTCTGCTCTGGAATTTATTTAGTTTTCTTTTTTGCCCATTTACTTATTGCCTTACCATAGGGACTCTGCAAACTGGAAAATTTCAATCATTTAGTGAATGGACAGGTTCATATCTGAAATGAGGTATGGTCGTGGCTATATTTACCTCTTAGTTGGCTGAGGTTTGGATTTCTCTTCTGTAAAATGGGTAAAACACTTAATAGCTTTATCACCTTCTTATAGACTGGTTAGGAGTTTTAGAAGTACATCAGAGGATTTTGCTGTTTGTGAGATGTGATGTGGTTATAATGGTTTATTAAATGGCTTGGGACATTCAATAGAAATTCTGCTGCCCCACACAGTGTTAGAAATATTCTGAGACATTGACACTCCTAATTCTTAACATGTGCTTTTCAAAACTCCATTTTCCCCTGATTGGTGTGGGAGATTATGGGAAAATTTTAAATCTCCCAACCTACATACTACTGTTAGTGCTTGACTAATTAAGGACATCCTTAGACCAAAATAATCCTTTATGCAATTTTGGTCCCAAAGCCTGCACTCTCACAAACCTGATTCACAAGCCAAGCTGCTTGGCCCCATGCCTGAAAACTTGTACTGGAGGACTTGGCAGTCTTCTCTGAAGCTGCATGGAGCAAAAACAGAGCCTTCTCATCAAATTGTATATTGGAGATTGTTCTTACTCCACTGGCAGGACCGGTGTCAAACCAAGGAAACAAAAGCAGGTCCACTCTCTTCAACACCTGCTCGGAGGCCTGAGAGCCCAGGGTCACGTGGTTGGAAGGCAGCATTCTCCCCACAGCCACGTTTGCCAGGACTGGATACTTGGCTCTCCGTGCTTTATGTCAGTGTAGTGTAGAATTCAGAAGCAATGCTTCTGCCCTTTGAGGGCCCTGCCACGGACACGCCCAGGCTTCCAGGTGTGCCCCCCAAATGTTTTTATTTAGGCACACTTGTGCCATATCTTAATAACTAGATGGATTTCCTTGCTAAGCAAAACAACTATTCTCTGTAAATATCCAAATGCTGATTCTTTCTCTTAGCTTCTCTATAAATAGGCAGTCGTGTGGAAGAGAAACAGATAAGCCTAGGTTTCATAAAATGGTTCCTTTGTGAAAGATGAACATGGTTCTCTTGTTGCCTGACATATCAGAGGGAAGGGTTGTGTTGGTTTTCTTGATAGCTTCTTTACTCCATGCACAGTAAAGATATGAATGCAGTTTTTAAAGGCCAATAATTACTGGAAATTCAGATCCAAAGAGACGAGAGTGGATCAGCTGTTGTTTCTGGGGTTGCTGCCCACCTGTTAACAAAAAATGCCATTCTTAATCCACTTCAGGATTGGATTAACTTTAAGAAAAATGTTTCATGGTTTTGCAGAATGTCATCAAGTCATATCATACTGGGCACTGAAAGGAAAAAAAAAACACTAAATGATTGTGCTTATAATTCTTCCATTTGGGTTTTGTGCCTGGCTGCATAAATTAGACTTACACTCATACTTAACAGAGGGACGACCTCCTCCCTTGAAGATGTCCTAAGAGATCTCAGTCCCTCTTGTCAAACAGCTTTGGGAAGGGGGAAGGACCAGTTATATGGGTTAAACATATGTCCATCTATGATTGGAACAAAGTTGTGTGCAAACTTTTCTATCCTCTTATCTGAGATTGGCATATCATGTTGAAGCCTTAGTTATTTGGACATTCCTCAGCTTTGGAATTTATACTGGCAGCTTCCTTTAGTGACTTTCTTTTTTCCCTTTCAAGACCTAGTCTTGTTATATCCTCCATTCCACTATTTTGCTCATATTATGCCTCAGGCTTATGAAAACATGCTTTGTTTTAAAGCTCAATATCACAGGCAAGTGGTTCAAATCCAGACCCTGCCATTACTAGCTGTGATATACAGTGGGCACATTATAATAATTCTCAATAAGACTCAGTTTTCTCATCTACAAACTGGGGATATCAGTTGTTATCAAAATGAAATTAGAGGGGCTGGGGAGATGGCTCAGTAGAGAAAGTGCTTCCCTGGCAAGCGCAAGGACCTGAGTTCAATCCCTGGTTCTGGGAAAAAAAAAAAAAAGGAAGGAAAGAAAAGAAATTAGAAACTGTGCAAATTGTCTGCAGTAAGGAACGGCCTTGTGTAACAGTGGTGATCAGACATCTGTCAGGTGATAATAGCAATATTATGTGTCTTTTGTCATATAGTACTTGTACACCTTTATTGATCTGATAGCTAAACCAGTTCTGAGGGATAATGGTTTGTGCCCATAGGCTAACAAAAACAAAGAAACATAGTTGAACTCCAACAATTCATTTTTTCACTATATTTTTCTTTTAGTAGGCATTTAGTATTTTAAACTAAACCCCCTTTTGTTGGGTCTGCCTAGATAAAATTTTTCTCCTAAATTAGTTATAAGTTCCACCCAGAACTTTCAGACCTTAAACAAAACTAGAGGTCAGTCATTTTCCCTGAGAAACATCTGACTTTGAGATTTCTCAGGTTCTGTTTTAGCTGTAAACTAAGAGTGATAGTCTTCATTTATTTGGCTTCAGAAAAGTAGAGCCCTTCCTCTAGAGCAAAGGCTTATCTTACTGAAATACCTGTGATTCAGTTCCTGTGTGATTCCAAGGAGTACATAGCCCCACAATGCTTTGGGCTTGTGACCACGAGGCTTTGGTAATGCGTGTCACACCTTGGCAGACTGAAGCTGGAGATTATTCCTTCTGTAAGAGTGTGGCGTCTCCTTGTAACAAATTAACATTTAATGTTACTCCTGATATCCTCCATAGGGCAGCTTAATGTGTTTGAGCGAAGCATCCATATACCATCAGAGAAATTTAATCCTAAATTCTAGGCTCCCTTGAATGTATTTATTTTTCCTACGGGGAAAAAAAGATAATATATTTGAAACAGCGCTGCAAGTTGAACTGGGCCTGACAGTTCTGTACTCCTACACGAAAGGACCAGTTCACTAATGAGGGATAAATTGAGTGAAAGAAAATGACAACTGTTTACAGAGTTTGGCAACATTTAAAGTAGAACTCTTTTCCCTTATGTAGAACAACTGTTTTAACAGCTGCTTTTTTCCTCTTCTTCCTTCTCCCCCTCCAAAAATCCTTACATCAGGTTTTTGAGTCATGATGCAGGAATCTGGGACTGAGACAAAAACTAACGGGTCAGCCATCCAGAATGGATCCAGCAGCGGCAACCACTTGCTAGAGTGTGGCGCGCTCCGGGAGGGTCGGTCCAACGGGGAGGCGCCGGCGGTGGACCTGGGCGCTGCTGACCTCGCCCACGCCCAGCAGCAGCAGGTACGATCTTGGGCTTTGGGGTGGTGGGATGCTTGGGTCTGTTCTTTTTTTAAAAGTTTATTTATTTTTCCATAATTTTATTGAGAAACAAATAGCAATGTGACAGTTTCAAATCAAATTTGTTGGGTCTGTTCTTGACCACTGCCCCTAGGGCAGCGTCTGTTAGCACCGATCACTGTGACTCCTGCTGGTGGGCTTTGGAGATTGATTCTGAGTTGGGAGTCAGGGCAGGCATCTCCTTTCTGCGGAGTGGTGGTTCAGACTTCAAGGTCGAGTGGACCTTGGTCAGTCTGGAATAGCCCCCCACATGCCACCCTAACTTTGAGTTGTGAATAAAATTACTTCTTGCAGAAAATATTCACTGTGCACGACCATTTAATAAAGACAAACAATAATTTTTAAAACTGGGATTAAGAAGTCCTAGGAAGAAAGAAATAAGAAAGGAGGGATAAAAGTGAAAAATAAGAGGGGAAGCAAGTAAATGCATAAGGAGAGCAGAAATAGATACAAGTAGAAGTGGTTAAATGGCATACAGGGCTGTTTGGGATGCAGCCAGCCACATAGGAAATTGCTTCCTAGTACTTCTCCATGTGTAGGAACGTGGGGTGCTCCCATGGACCTGGTATCCCTGTAGGAAATGATATGTGTCTAAGTCTTACTGTTGTATTTATGCCTATGAGTGCTGTCCTCACAGGTACCTAAATAGGTACTTGGAGTGACTGGTAAAACATTTCCAAATGGGAAAGGCTACCCACGTCATTGTTATTTTGGCAAAGTGTTGGTGTAAATTCAAATATAAATGGCATTTCATTGAAGACTGTCTCTGCTTGCACAACTTCTGTTGATATCAGAAAATATTACTAGTTTTCGTTAATGATAATGGATGGTAGTTTCCCCTTTTTGTCCTTAATTTATTTCTGTAGTTTTTAATTATGGTGTCGTTTGGAGTTGAGTACTGGAGGGAATGATGAGTCTCTGTGCCTTTGGGAAGACACGGGAATTGTTGAAGGGTGGTATAAAAGAAAGGCAGATCTTTTCTCAAGCCATTTTCTTGGGCCATGAACCAGAAAAGGTAAGGAAATCTCTTCTTGTGTCACAGGGAGCTTTTGACACCCAAAGCATTTTTAGATTATTTTTGCTAAGGGTAGGTCTTTTTTTTTTATACAAAAAGTCATTAGATTGTGAGCCCATTAAAGTTAGTGGAACCAACATGAGATTATGGAACTTGGGGGGCGGGCAACAAAGAGGGAGAAGAGGGAAGCTGGCTGGCAGCCAGCTGTGATTCAGAGGGCTTCCTGTGAGTGATTCGATCTCTTTCTCTGGCAGCTCCTGCTATTGGTGCCTGTGCCTCAGGCACTGCGTCAGCTGGAGTTTCCATGTTTGTTGTGTATTAATTTCATGCATTTAAGTTAACGCTAATGGCTGCATTCTAGCCAATGAGGGTGTTAGCAAAACCCAGCAGTCAATGGTAAAAGTACATTCATGCTACCGTACGTTTATGTGATGTTCTCAGCTCTTTCTGGTTCTATTGAGAATAAATAGCTGATCTTTTTAGTGTACCATTCCCTGTGTCCTTATAGACAGAGGTCAAGACCAACTGTTTCTTTATGGAGCAGTTGCGTGGGGGGGCTCCTGACTGATATGGTGCAAACAGGAACAGCAGCAGCAAACTGCTCCACGAAAGAAAGTTAGAGTGCCTTTCAGCAGCATCTTCTTTAGAAATGATCAGTAGCAAAATCGTTTATCCATGTGTTCTGTCTTTACCTTAGCTGGGACCATTTTTGAAATTTTGTTTGAATTATCGATTTAAAGTTTAAGAAATTAATTTTGATTATGCTTTGAGCTATTTTAAAATATTTTACAGCAATTTTATTCTTGTTTGCCATTGACATGTTCTAGGAAGAAAAGAAAACAGATGAAGCATGGTGGCTGAAGTCCCACTTACCGTGGTCAGCAAACCTTTTGGGGCTTTGCAAAATAAAGTATCGACAGCTCTTTGACTCCCCAGAGTATATGACGAGGTTCTTAACAGGTTGTGAGGGAAATCTGTGGCTGGAATCAAAAAGGTGCGGGATGAGATTGTGCCCTGGGACTGGGGCTGCCAGCTTCTTCTGGATGACACTGCAACAATTAAGCAGTTTGGAGAAATGCGAATGTCACGGCTGGGCTTTGGCTGTTTTCGTCATTTTTATGCTACAGGTTTTTACTTGAAGTGAGAATACCAGCAGTGAGAAAGTCACAGCCATGCTGAATTCATTACTGCAGTAGTCACACAAAACCACGGATAAAATTTCAATAACTGCAGGCCACAGTTGAGTAAACAGTTGCACTGAAATTTAATTCCTGTTGACTTTTCCCCCATTCCTCGCCAGGGGCACATTCTGATTCCATAGTACAAAGACAACAGGGGTTACAGCTTTGATTAATGTAGGACAGTGGAAGAGAATTAGAACTGTAAAAAATGTTAGAAGTCTATGGAACACAAAGATCTGCTTAAAAGGGCCTGGAATAAAAAGGAGTTGGTTGTGCTGTGTGTTAAACAGAATGTTATAGGATTTTCTAGTTGTTTCAGTACCATTGATGTTATAGGGAAAATTTAAGATAAATAAATGTAAACCTTTCTGTGTTTGCTTCTTATTACTAATAGTGATTATAAATTATAGCAAATTCCCTTTCAGGAAGGAGGGCTCTGACAAAGATTCACTGAGCAGTAGTGCATTGTGTAGTAGATTTGGTTTATAGGTTGAGTGAATTGGATCTGAAGCAGAATTTGTTTAAAAATATTATCTTGCTGACAACCCAGAGAAATGGAAGGGATCAGGCTTTTCCATCTTCTCTTTGAAAATCAGAATATCTGGTGACCTTGGGCCAATAGTCCCACAAGGGCAGCAATTGTTGGGAGATAAATTGCTACTCAGGACAGGGAGCCCGCCGGCCCCAGCCCTCTGGTTCCCACCAGCAGTGTGCTCATTTATGCCCTGTAGGTAGTGGAGCTGGTGATTCTGGCCTGGAAGATGTAGTCATCACTCAGAAGCCATCAGGCAAGGAGAGGTGCTGCCCTTAGTGGGAGTGGCCCGCAAGGCACTTTGGATGTCCTGCCTGCAAGCTGGCCCTGTCATCTCTGTATTGGTTCAGCTCTCTGCATATCAGAGCCACGAAACTATTATAACAATAGTTTTCTAATAATGTAATTTGATAGAGTTTCTGAGTGTTTTCTTTTAGCCATTCAGTAATTCTTCATCCAATACCATAACTGCTTTTTATTTCCTATTATGCCTGCCCCATTTCTGTGTCTGTGAAAGTTCTATATTGCAGATGCACTCCTCCGTTATGAAACTCAGCAACAAATACTATTACCAATTACTATAGGGTTTTTTCCCCCCGTAAAGAAAGGGTTTTAAAATGTCCAGAGCAATTTCATAAACTGTGTGGATTAATGCATTTTAAAAGTCTTGAATTTTAGATCGCAGAATTTTATTTCCATATTGCTGCAAATGAGAGCTTTTTCAGATAAGCATATTACATAGAGCATAATGTTTAGAAGTTTCTCCATATACAGCATATGCTGTCAGGTCAATTAACAGAATGCATACTAGAAAATGTTTATTCAATAAAAATGAATAGCTGTTAAATAAAACAGCTATTTCTTAACAACATTCCATTTAATGATGGGCTTTTCCTTTTTGGTGTTTTATGTTTTTTTTTCTTTTTTGTTACCACCTGGCAGTTTTATTGTCTGCAAGTCAGTATAGGGAAAGTTTTGACTACTGTGGTTTCAAGGTATGGCTCTCATTTTCTATGAAGAGAGAACTTTAAAGGGAGTCTGTGAGAAAGACATTTTAAAAAAGATAAGCTGTGTTTAGAGTTTGAACACTTACTTAGAGAGTGTGAGTAAATGAAATGTTTACTTCACATAGCTCCTTTGACATTTGGTTTATAAAGTTTAGGGCCTTTTGTTCCAAAAGAAAGAGTATGTATTCAAGTTAACTAAGTACCCAAAGAAGGGAGCATGTTAACTGACCAGTAAGGAAGTGAAAGAGGCCAGAAGGACAAGGGCATTGCTCACAGAAGAAACCCTTGGGTTGAGTTTTGCCAGCAAACCACCCATGGAGGTGTGAAGTGTTTGTCAGTAGAGGACACTGAGGCTCAGAGAAATCCAATGAGTGCTGAGGACTCAAGAAGGATGCAATGAAGCGCAGTTGGGGCAGCATAGAAGAGGGAGGTGCACAGGCCCTGGGACAGCCCTGGGCGTCCCTCTGGGGAGTTACGCACTGCCCTCTGCATCTGGGACTTTCACACCTGTGGATTTAACCAAGTGTGAATCTGAAATACTGGGGTATGTTTTTGCTGAACACATACAAACTTATTTTTTATTTGGTTCCTTAAGACTTTACATGGCATTCACATTGTATTAGGGATTAGAAGTCATCTGTAGTTGATCTGAAGTATTTAGGAGGCTGTGTGTAGCTCTTCTGTCATGTTACATCAGGGACTGGACTGTCCACAGGTTTTGGTGTCCAGGGATCCTATAACCAGTCTCCCTTGGGTAGCAAGGGTACAGTGGCACCATGTGTGTGTGCGTGTGTATGCATGTGTGATACTGTGGGCTGAACATAGAGCTCTTGCACTGAGCTACATCTCCAACCTTTTTTGAATTTTTATTTTGATATAAGGTCACACTAAACTGGCTAGTTTTCCAGATTGGGCTCAGATCTGTAATTTTCCTATCTCAGCCTCCTAGACTACTAGGCACATAGGACAGTCCCACCACATCTGGCTAGAGTGCCAGCACCTGAAGAGGAGGGCAAAGGTTCTTTTTTCTTTTAGTAGAGACAAATACACAAAGAGAAACTCATATATGAGAAAGGCGCTGTGCCTTGCTTCAGATTCTTACCCCCTCCTTCAGGGAGTCATTAAAATTCAGGGGTCATTTTTGAACCCGTTGCTCATCTTACATAGAGATACTGGTGGGCCTTACCATGCTACCAGTTTTTCTTGGA